TTGCTCTTTTACGAAAATTATCACAAATGCTTCTGTTCACAAATTCTTGCTTTCCTTCTGGAATAAAATTAGAAGGAGAGATGTTGGGTTGAGAGAAATTGGGAGCACTAAGAATAATATGCATCCAGGCTGTAAGGGAAAAATAGACCCAAGAAGTTCCAGAAATATCAGTGTTTCAAGAAATTTGCGCCTGGAGTGAAAACTAGATGGCAAATGGTTGTTCTACATAAGCTAGTGAACTCTGGTTCTGTTTGGAACTGTGACCACTGTCACAAACTCTGTAGTGATTATTTTAATTGTACCATATTGAAACAGGTACATGCTTTGTGCTTATTTGAATGAATGAAGTACCACTTTAACTGGGCAGCACATGAATAGAAATGGAAAAACATATAGTGCCTAGATTTCTGTGCCTGGTTCTATGGAAAATAGCCCTCTGTTTTTCTCAAACAACATTGGACACAAGAATCACTTGGAAATATGTTACAGAGGTACGTTCCAAGGTCCTTTCACTAGAAATTCTGATATAGGTACCCAAAATAATTTTGATGATCACAGCCAAGGAACGTATTTTGACGAAGACTCCTCTGAAGGAAGATTTCTAAGAAGCAATTTTCCGTAGAGGAAGAACAATTAAACTCATTGTTTCCACAGCAATGAGATTTGGGCAGCTTGGTGACAGATATTGACACTTTATGTCGTTAAAAATGTTTAAGGCAAAATACAGTAATTAGTCCTGGGGGGGAGGGTAAATAAAATAACAATTTCATTTTTTTTAATGGACAATAGCACAAAGATGGTAATAGTCACCAGATTAAAAAAATTACATGTGAAAACAAAAATATAAACAGATACATGAATCTACTATTTCACTAGTCAATTACAGAATTTGCAGTTAGATAATTTTAGTTGTGTATTTATTCAAATAGTTAATCTGTGTTCTCTGGACATCTTCTTACATTGTAACTCTTTTTGTGTTTACAACCAAAACCTTCGAGAAGGAAGGGTCTCAGCTTGGCCAGTCCTAACCTGTTCTCATTTTTAACAGCTCTCCATTGGAAGTTCCTAACTCTTACGTTACGATTGTGTTTGTGTGTGTGTATGCTCGCGAGCATACGCGTGCATACACGCATATGAACAAGCGTTCATTAAATCCAAATAATAAGTTACTTTAGGGGGAACTTTAATCATCTTTAATTTTTTTTGTTATAAAAGAATAAGTGTGTTTAGCTGGATGCTGTAGGTATGAGGGTATTCTGAATAAATCAAAGATGATTTATTTACTTTTTTTCTCTTGGCCATGGAATTCATAAGCCTTTCTTTTATTTTTGACCCCTATAAAGTCCCTTCTTTTCTGTGAGCAGTTCACACTCTGTTATGTACCCAATGATCATGTGAAGAAATCTTGGGATACAAACGAGATGGATTGTCTTATCAGTTAGGTAAAAGGTAGGTAGATAAGTAGTAAATAGATAGACAGATAGATAGGTAGACGATAGATAGAAAGAATAGAGAGAGATAGATACAGTAGGCAATTCTATGTCTGGTCTCAACATATTTCATTTCCTGATTTTTATATTGATTCCTTAAAATTAAAAAATCAGGACATATTGCTCAAATTTTCCCAAGCAATATCTCTATTTCTTCTTTCTCCACCCTGTAAAGATGGATCCGAATCTTGGGGCAACTGTTTCTCAGTAGAAATCATAAGCTTAGTCTGTTAGTATTTTTATGCTGAATCCATTCCTTTATCTCTTGTTTAGCTGGGCATTGACAAAAATCCACAGCGATTTTTGGGTAGAGGACATTTTTACCTCAACAGAGAGAGAGAGATAGAGAGAAAGAGAGAGAATATCATTGACAGTCGTTTTTAACTTTTCTTCAGATGGATTGGTATAATAGAAACACTGCCTTGTGGTACAAGTTTTGTGAAATTCATAATGCTTCATTATCTCCGTCAGCTTTCTCTTCATTGCAACTGCTTTCATTTTCCGAGTAGTCATGTAAATAGGCTGATCCTGTTTTGCATAAGCATGTTGATTTATATGAATGCTATTTTGATCTCAAATTGATTGAATACTAAAAAGAAAGACTAGGGAAAAGAACACCGTTTTATGAAGGTCTGTTGTCAAAGACAAAAGATACCAGATCCTACATATATTCTCAGTGAGTGATGGGGAATTTTCTATGTCTTAGTTTTTAGAAAAGAATATTTCTAAAGAAATACAGCAAAACGCTCTAATATTGAGACTCAAATGTTTTAAAATACCATGGGTTAAATTGCATTTCGAAGATAGGATTCCATCCAGTCAAAGCTCATGTAATACAGGAAGGTATGAGGGTCAGTCCGACCTGCCAACACCAGCATTAGAAAGCCTTATAGTATTTGGTGCTCAGTAATTAATCGGCAACTTGGTGAATTTTGATTTTATGACACCTCGCTGCACTTTCCTCCTTGTTTTCTTCCCCATCCATCGCGTCCTCCACTAAAATTCTATACGCCCCGAAATCACCAACCATAGCCCTACTCTTGGCAAAGAAGTGGATATCAATATGTGCACCTTATTTCGCATCCCTTTTCCAAGAATATTTTCTTTTCAGACTTTGTCATTCATTGGGTAATAAAGAATGTTCCCCCTACGCCCCAGAAAGATATGTGCAATAAAGAAGGTTAGTGTGGAGCAGCCTGAGGTGCCAGGGACCCTTTCGCATCAGCCCTGAAATCTGACTGCTCATCAGTAACCTATACCTACCCTCCCTATTGTAAGCCCGGCCTTGGCCATGTCAGAGGGCAGGGTAGGAGATGCCGCAGTTCTGTTCTGACCTGGACTCTAGTTTCCCTGAAGCCTGGCTCTCCTGGGCTGCCACTAAGACAGTTTCCTCCTCCTTACTTCCTTGTGCCTGTCTCAATAAACCTCCATCACCTGAGACAGCCTGGGCCTGTCTATCCATCCTTGCCTTTACCTAATCCAGAATTGCAGGTCTGTGTCTATAGACAAGCCATTTAATTTTCATGATCCCGAGTATCTTATTGACTTGTATGAATGACAAACAGTTTATCATATGTATGGATGTGTACAGATTATGCAGTAAAGCACAGTCTGTTGAAAAGAGCAATAAAAGGGGCTGGCCCCGTGGCCGAGTGGTTAAGTTCTCACGCTCCCCTGCAGGCGGCCCAGTGTTTCGTTAGTTCGAATCCTGGGCGCGGACATGGCACTGCTCATCAGACCACGCTGAGGCAGCGTCCCACATGCCACAACTAGAAGAACCCACAACGACGAATACACAACTATGTACCGGGGGGCTTTGGGGAGAAAAAGGAAAAAATAAAATCTTTAAAAAAAAAAAAAAAAAAAGAGCAATAAAAGAGTTTATTGGAGAACAGAGCACAGAGCGCTAGTTTCAGCTCTTGTAGCTTCTGTCATCTTGAACAAGTGAGTGACGTTTTTGGAGCCTCAGTTTCCTCACCTGTAAAAGGGGCTGATGATACATTCTCCAGCCACCTTACAAGGTTGTGTCATGAGGACTAAGTCAGCTAAGATGTTATAGTGATTTGCCAAGTACAGTTTATACAAATGTGAGCGATGATTGTGTAAATGGTGAGAGAATGTATCAGAGTTCTAAACAAGCAGGTTCTCCTCTCTAAGTCGGTTAGTTGTCTCTTAAACGTGGGACTTCTGGCAATCCTATCAGCAAGGAACTGGAGATTTGCTTTTGACAGCAACTTAAGAGTGATTCAACATCAGAAATTTTACTTTTACAAAGAAATCTGCCCAAAAGATGCGTGGAAACACTGATAAGAGTTGGCCTAACTATTAAAAATCTATTTATTTCTTCTCTTGAAGATATTACTGATGCAAAAGCAAAACAAACAAAAACGGAACAAAACTCTCACTGCAAAGTATTCTCCTACAGTTTTTTTCCTAAATATCTCATATTTTGAACGCTATGCATGCTTTTTCACACTGCACACCTAGAACGTGTGTACTATCAAATCACACAAGTTTTCTTGACTTGTCTTTAAAAGTTCAAAAAAGGAGCTGTTCCGGTGGCATAGTGGTTAAGTTCACATGCTCCACCTCAGCGGCCGGGAGTTTGCAGGTTCAGATCCCGGGCACGAACTTAACACCCTTCATCAAGCCACACTGTGGTGGTGTCCCACATAAAATAAAGGAAGATGGGCATAGATGTTAGCTCAGGGCCAATCTTCCTCACAAAAAAAATAGATACAGTTCAGAACAAATTTATACATAAATATATAAACAAATATAGATATAAATATAGCAGAAGACACCAAATAGGAAATAATTTCCCAAAGTTAGACTTCACACACGAGAGCTTACTAAGGAATACTCCTACCCCTAAACATTCAGACAGTCTTCTTGTATTGCCATTTAGATCTATCATTCTGATTGATCACTGTGTGGTTGGCTATTATTGGCCTAATTTAACCCTATCCACTCACACATCCATCTACTCTGTCTATTGTACCTGACATTCGACAAATTACTTACTCATGCAAATGATGACCCACGGCAACCTTTTAGGATATTCGTGTTTAATTATACAAATGGTTCTTGATAAATAAGATTACACATCCTTCCATATGTTTATCCCCTCCTTGATGAAAGGAAAATTTAATTTTCATGCAGATTTGGGGGGAACGGCGTTGAAGAATTGCTGAGTTTTATGTAGTCCGCAGATCCATCCAGTTTGCAGAAGCTGACAAAATCACTCCTCACCCCGCACAGAGACAAGCACTTTTTCTTTAGTCTGAAATCAGCCTGCTGCATTCCAAAATCAGGGTTCCTCCTTGGCCCCCTCTGTGTGTACATGGTCCAATGCACAAATGAAGTAGGACCTGCTCTCCTTTGTGATTGCAAAGTTGCTGGATCAAAGTTTATCTCATTCTGTTGTGGTTAGTTGCTTTGGATTGCTAACTTTTTTTTCAACCTGAAGTTATCTCACTTTTGACTGGTCTTACTGATTTCTCTTTGGAGGTCTGCGCAGTGAATTCAGCAGGAAAAGCCCCCAGTAGCTGGACACGGTGTAGAACTGGGCCCGCCCCCCCAGAAGGTCTCAGGGCCCCCAAGTTCCACGCGGTCTCTTCCACCCAAGCATTGGTCCACATCAGCGCCCCTCGGAAGCCCAACGGAATCGTCAGTCTCTACAGATTGTTCTCCAACGACACCAGCGGGGTGGAGACAGTGGTGAGCAGCAGAGTACTCTGAACTAAAAGCCCAGGATTGGTTTATTTTTAAAAAATAAACAATGGTGCTTTTTCTTCTCCTTGCTTTTCTTCTCCCTCATCCTTCTTTCTTATCTATCTCTTCTCAGTTGCCCTGTGACGAACTTAGTAGCACAAAGAGACCTCTGAGAAGAAATAGAAAGCGTTAGGAAATATAAGAAATATGTAAATGTTCAGGGAGAGAAGCACTAAACATGGTGTTAGGGACTCCGAAGATGTAAGAAACCTAAGACTTTAGAGATAATCAAATTTAGTGAGTTGAATGGAAAACACATGTCAAGCACTTAGTGTAGTAGCGGCATATAGTAAGGGGCTGACAAATGGTCACTGTGAGTGGTATAAATGTTAACGTGAAAACGAACAAAGAGAGCAAAGAATATCCTCAGAATCCCCATCATGGCATGTGCAAATCTCTAATAACACAGAAAACTCGGTCTTTCTTTTGATGACTTCTAGAAAGTTCTAGCCCTTTGGAAGAGACAGCAGAACAGCTCCATCAGCACGGCTCTAGCTTCACTGTTAGTGTAATAACACGTTTGGGGCACATCAGGGAGACAGGATGGACTGTATAAATGTATAAGGAAATCATCTTTCACATAGTGTTTTAGCAAAGCCATTGGCTGGAAGGGACACTAATCCCTTATTTAAATGAAGAGGCAAAGAGCCAATGGGATGAAGTCTCTTTTCTCTTAGCACAGCTTGCGTCACGCCCACATTCCTCAGGAATAAATACAGATGATGACAGTTTGTTCACCCAAACCTCACAGAGAAATTGTGCAGATCCCACTATTACATTATAAATTATTTAGCCTGATTGAGGGAACAATTTGGGTGAATGTGGAGAAATCCTCTGAGGCTAGAGTGCCAGGTATTGAAAGACAATTTCAAAAGATAACTTGCATACAAAGTCTCCTATTGAATGTTAAAGGAGTATTAGCAGATTTTCTACAGGCCTTCGTATTCAATAAATATAGATGATGTAAATACAATCAACCCTTGATTATCCATGCTTATAAAATGATAATATTAATAAATGAAAATAATTTATATTTCGAATGCATTGTATGCATTTTTTAAAATAACCGATAGCTCTTCTTAATTATATGTTGTTTATGTCAGTGTGAAAATTAGTTTCCAGTCTCTGAACTCTTGCGTTCCAAAGATCCCTTAATAAAACCACGAGATCAAAACTTTGCTCCAAATAAACCTAAAAGTTTATAGTGCAACAAAAATGAGTGAGAGATATTGAGAGACTATGATATTTTGTATCAACCAGCATCCTCAGAGAAAGAGATGGACTTTCAAGATCATAAATACATATAAATGTACAAAATATACAAATACATGAGATATTTATTTCAAACTCTTAAATACCCAACTCTAACATGGATTTGAAGGGCTTTTCTGATTCAAACATGACATGCAAGTAACAATGGTAGAAAATGGACTTTAGTGAATGTTGACTGGAAATTTAATTCAAATACAGATTTTGGTTTTTGAAAGACACCAGTGTGAGGGTCATGGAATTTGATCAATATTTTGTGTGTTTTGTGTCATTTTCTAGTATCTTTCTATGGTAATCGGTCATGGATTATATTATGCCTTGTGACTTCTATCCTGTTATCTCAAACTTCTTTCTGATGGTTATATCATTACATATTTCACGTGTGAGTCATGACTCTCCAGTGGATTGGAAATTCCTTCAGGGTCAAGACTATCCTGAATGCCTTGGGGCACCTCCCAGAGCACCTGGCTCTATTCATGTGAGGTGGGATGTATGACAAACATTTATCAGTTGTCTGTTACTTGTGACATTGTCCCATCTCGTCTTCTCTCCCCTCCTACAGCTGTCTGAAGGCATGGCCACCCAGCAGATGCTTCACGGCCTGCAACCCTTCACCACGTACTCCATTGGGATAGAGGCTTGCACCTGCTTCAACTGTTGCAGCAAAGGGCCCATGGCGGAGCTAAGAACTCATCCCGCGCTCCCCTCGGGACTGTCCTCTCCCCAGATCCAGACCCTGGCCTCGAGAACAGCCTCCTTCCAGTGGAGTCCCCCTCTGTTCCCCAATGGTGTCATTCAAAGGTAGTGGGACAGCCAGAAGGACAAAGAAACCAAAATAAGCCATGCATACAGACATACAGCTACCCAGCATGCCCCAAGGAAGACTTGTATATTGAACAGATACCTGTAGCAAAATAGACGAGTAAATTGATTTGCATGGTAACGTTCCCTGCAAACTGTTTAAATCATAAAATCAAGTAATGATAGAAAAGTGAACAACAAAATTGTTTTTAAATCAGAAAGTCGATGCAATGTGTTTGCATTCGTTGAGAGAATACATCCCTCCTCATGGGTCCCTGGAATCATTCATTCTATAGGCCTCAGCTGGAACATGAGAAACTTCTGTAGTCAAATAGAACCCCCTTGAAATTCAAAATGTTGTAATGAACCACTGTTTGAAAGAACAAAGAAGTCATTTCACGCAAAATAATCTGGAGGGGAAAAGATTGTTTTTATTTTCAACAGAAGGGAACAATTTTATCGCTCTCCCCTAAAAAGAGAGAAATATCTTATCTCTACCAACAAGGATTACCAGTTGCTGGGTGGACGGCAACATGTGTATACGTGTGACTTCTCATCATTTCTCTGGTTACATCGGCTGCTCATTTCCAACAGCACTAAACAAAGTGTTTCTGAGAGCAGTTCCTTGCAAATGGAAATTTTAAAGAGCTTGTAGTTCAATGAAAACTAAATGTCTCATCACAGTAAATGACCAGGTTTAAAAGAGAGTTAAACTAATCCATTGCTCGTTTTCTCTTTACATACCCATTCTCATCTAGCTATGAGCTCCAGCTCCACACGGCTTGTCCTCCTGATTCAGCTGTACCCTGTACTCCCAGCCAGACTGAGACAAAGTACATGGGACCAGGACAGACAGCCAGCCTTGGGGGTCTCCAGCCTTACACCACCTACAAGCTGAGAGTGGTGGCTCACAACGAGGTGGGCAGCACGGCTTCCGAATGGATCAGCTTCACCACCCAAAAAGAACGTGAGTAGAAGTGGCTGCCTCCATAGGCCAGAGAAGTTGGGAGGGCAGCCGGGAGAGGCATGTCATGAAAATAGGGAAAACCAGTTTTTCAAAAGGATTGAGTGAGTATTCAATTACAGTCAATGCTACTGAGACATCAATGAAGACGACTGCTGGAAAAAAATGCCTATTAGGTGAATTTAGGAAGATTTTTGTGTAGCAATAGGGCAAAAACCAATTCAGAGGGAGTTAATGCACAGGCAGGATGAAAAAGAGACAAATACTAGAGATGAGTTTTTAAAGAAATTTTCCACTCCTTTTCTTTTCAAATTACATAGCACAAATCTCTAGGATTTCCAGCAAGTGTTGAGACAGGGCACTGTCAAGAAAGCAAAATGGCATTTGAGTGCAAAAAAGGGCAATTAATTAATTGGGGTCTTCTTGCATTTCTATAAAATAACTTCTTTTCTGATTTTACAAGGAATATATTTCTATTGTTTAAGAATGACAAATACAAAGAGTATTAAGAATAATATAAGTAGGGGCTGGCCCAGTGGCATAGTGGTTAAGTTTGTGCACTCTGCTTTGACAGCCCAGGGTTCGCAGGTTCAGATCCCGGGCACAGACCCAGTACCACTGGTCAAGCCATACTGTGACAGCATCCCACATAAAACAGAGGAAGACCGGCACAGATATTAGCTCAGCAACAATCTTCCTCAAGCAAAAAGAGGAAGATTGGCAGCAGGAGTTAGCTCAGGGCCAATCTTCCTCACACACGCACAAAAAGAATAAAATAAGTACTTATAATCAGAACTAGCTACATAATTTGGGGGCCCCAGGAGAAAATGAAAATATAGGTCCCCTTGTTCAAAAATCATTAAGAATTTCAAGACAATGACAGCAAAACATCAAACTAAGTCCTGGACTCATCTATGTGAGGAGCCTTGTGCAACTGCATAGTTCACACACCTGGAAAGCCAGTCCTACTTATAATCCCACCGCTCAGAGGCAATCATATTAATATTCTGGCATAACTCATTCCTTTAATCTCTTTCCTATACATAGGTTTTATTGCATGGCTTAGATCATATTCTAATGAAAATTTCATAGTCTGCTTTTTATATTTGACATTATTTTATTTGCATGTCCTATGGTATTAAAAATTCCTTAGCCATCAAGTTTAATGACTGTATAATATTCCATCATATGGATTGGTTGGGCATTTCAGTTGTTGCTGATATTTTCCATTTATAAACGTGGTGAGAAATTGTTTTGTGAACACATCTTTGTTTGAATGTCTGACTATTTTCTTAAATTCCACAAATGGAATTTACTACATTGAGTATTTAAGGTTTTGAATACTTATTGCAAATTTGCTTTTCGGAAACATATCAGATTATAATTTCATCTTCAGTATTTGGCATTGGCATTTTTAAAAGTAAGAGTTATGGAGGCCAGCTGGTGGCACAGCAGTTAAGTTTGCACATTCTGCTTCAGCGGCCTGGGGTTCACCAGTTCAGATCCCAGGTGTGGACGTGGCACCACTTGTCAAGCCATGCTGTGGCAGGCATCCCACATATAAAGTGGAGGAAGATGGGCACAGATGTTAGCTCAGGGCCAGTCTTCCTCAGCAAAAAGAGGAGGATTTGTAGCAGATGTTAGCTCAGGGATAATCTTCCTAAAAAAATTAAAATAAAAATAAATAAATAAAAAGTAAGAGTTATGCACTCATGAAAGTCCAGCACCTCATGCAAAGATCTTAATCTGTCTGAGTGACAACATGGCAGGATGCTAGCAATGGGTCACATGTAGAGAGGACTTTCTCATGCCTGGTACTCTTCAAGCATTTTACAAATAATCCTTACAATAAACCCATGAAGCAAGCACTACTGTTATCCAAATTTACAGATGAGAAAACCAAGGCAGAACTACGGATGGTGCACTACAGTTCCAGTATGTCATTCACACAGACCAGAATCTGAACTGAGGCTCCTGGAGTTATACAATGAGGTGGCCCTGAAAGAAGGCCAGAGCTTAAGTCATTTAGCCAGTTTCCACACCTCGAAAGGAGCAGTATTGTTCTAAATTCATGACCACCCAGCTCGGCAGCACCCTCAGTACTACCTCAGTACATACCTTCTCCGCCCTCCTCAAACCCCCCACTTCTTCTCACTCTTTCTCCCCGCATGCACATACCATCCTCACTCCTCTCTCCCTATATTCTCAGCAGAACTCCTTGACTTGTAATTCACCCGGAAAAGAGAAGTCGACAGTCAGTTATTTGCTTTCTTCTCACCCCAGACAGCCATACCCTGCTGCATTTGCACCATTCCTGTCTGCGACAAGGAAGGGGTGGTCCTTCTATCTGAAGAAACCTGCCTCTTGTGCTTTAAATACCATCCTCTCCACTACTGATCATCCTTTCTCTCTCCTGAATCTTCAGTGTATCCTAGTTATACCCACAGTTGCTTTTCTCTCTAATGTGAAAGCAAACAAACTCCATTTCTCCTCTAGTTAATGTCCACGCTGCTCCCCACCATGGCAAAACTTTTCTAAAGAACGGTCTTCAAGTGCTTTGCCCATTTTCCTTCTTCCCACTTACCTTTTCCACGAACTTCCTCCAAACTAGTTTTCACCTCATCACTGCATGAAAATCTCTTCTAACTTTGCCCTAGACCTCCACAGTGGTAATCCAGTGGACATTTTTCTCCACTAGTCACCTTCATTGACTTCTCTGTAACATTCAACGCAATGGAATCCTAGTTTCTACGGTCTCTCCTGGTTTCCCTCCCGCCTCTTTGGATGCTCAATTTTAGTCAGCTCTGTTGGATGATCATCCACCAACCAAGTTCTTCAAGTCTCGATCCTAAACTTTCTGTCCTCGCCCTTCCATCCTCTCCTCTTCCCTCTTTGGATGAGTTAGTCTACTCCAAGTCTTCACTTCCAAAGGCTGACTCCCAAATGGTCACCTGCTTCCTGAGTCCTCTACTTCGAAATCCAGACCCCCACACCCAGCTTCCTCATCTCCCCTTGGACTTCTCATAACCAGCTTAAATTTCTTTTAACTGGACGGAGCTTGCATCTTTCCCCCTAAATCTGCTCCTCCTTTAGTCCTCATTTTCTCTGTATTGTTTCCAGCACTGGGCATAGGCTCTTAGATACCCAAAATGTGTTGTTTAATGAGTGGGCAAATGCATCCAAAATTTCTCACATTTACCGTTGGCACCACACAATCAGCATTATTTGTCACCCATGCCGTAATCAAAGCAAAGCGTAATGATTCTTAATAACGTCTACTGTCTAATTTTGTAAGCTCCTTTCCCTTTTTGCCTATTCTTCTTACTGTCCTCCCCTCACAAACCCAAAAGGAACTGTGAGAAACATTTATTCCTGAAATGAAAGTGTAGTACGATGAATTCTGATTGACTAATATAAAACGCTGCCGTGCACAAGGAGTGGGACAAAACATAGTCACCATCTTTGAGAAGTAATTACCCTTCACAATAAATCCATAAGCCAATTTTGCTAATTATTCGAGTTTTTTTGTGTGTATTGGCCAGAAGGCCAGGCCAAAATAGCCATGTGAGGTTTGCAGATTATAACCAATTCTCCTTTTAGTCATGAAGCTTAGCTTTTGCCAGATATTTTTTCGTCATGCTGGAAGATCAAAGTGAACAGATTTAAGATTTCTTTCCTTTCTGTTTTTCCTTTACACTGGAGAAGTGGCTGAAAGTTGATGGCTAGTAGATGATAGTGGCACGCCATAGTGTAATATTTCCACCATCCATAAACATAAAGTTTGAGTAACACCGAGGGAGAAAGTGTCTCTTAATCCACTTACTGGATCCACAGACATGGAAAAATACAATAAATAACTGACTATTACTTGTGCTACTTTTAACTCATTATACACACTAGAAGAGAGAAAATATAGATTGGAGAATACAAACCAGAAGATACTTTGAAAATGGTATTTACAATTTTACATAAATGTGATCACATATAAACTCAGAAAGGGTCTGGAGGGGCATTACCAACACATCCGTCCCCCTCTGCCTGAATTACATCTTCAGCAGAAGAGCAGAAGAGTTAAACACTAAGATGTAGTGTTTAACAACTGGCCTTCCTGAGAGAATAATGTCCTCATTTGCAGAGCTTGCCAATTTCTGCAGTGTAAATATTACCATCGTGACTGGTTTCATGTTGTCAGTGTGACGGCACTGAACACAGAGTTGGGAAGAGATGGCTAGTGGTGCGCCATTATATAATATTTCCACCATCCAGATACAATAGACATAAAATAACCTCAAGAGCATATCATAATATGTAGTGAAATAATTAAGAAGTTATGAATTTTGAATATGTATTACCTTTATTTTAATATAATTCATTTCAGTTAACATAATTCCATTTTTAATAATGGCTGGGTTTAGTAGCCAACTCACGAAATTCCTGAATGCTTAACAATCAGGAGGAACCAGCTCACCCATGGAGTGTACCCATGAAGTGAATTAGTAAATTGGGCTCCTTTAAAGAAATGTGTGCTGATTATAACGGGACAATGTGGGCTTTGGAGTTAAGAAGAGCTGGGCTCAGATCCTTGATCTCCTACCAGCTCTTTGACCTCTCTGAACCTTAGTCTGCTCTCCTGAAGAATTAGGAACTAGTGAAACTAGTTCTTCGAAGATTGTTTGAGGATTAAATGAGGTAAAGTAGCTCAAGTGCGAGAGGCATAGTAGCCATTACCGTTTTCTCAGTCTCCAAATCTGTTATTCCTTGTTATTTTGATGGTTTGATCACTCTTTTTTTTCTCAGGAAGATCTCCAAATCCTGTAAGCAAATCAAGCTCCTATCTTTCTATTTTCATACTATTTACAAGCCTTTCGTAGTTGTACAGTTAAGATATAGGAGAGAAGTGGAAATCTATTGAATTAAGTGACAGAGGGAAGCCACAGACAAATACAACAGTAGACTCCATTGTGATATTAGGCAAAATTTGTTTTGGAAAACAGATATTTAATGAGGGCTTGGGAACAGCCCAGCGGCATAGTGGTTAAGTTCCACTTTGGTGGCCCAGGGTTCGCGAGTTTGGATCCTGGGTGCGGACCTACACACCGCTCATCAAGCCATGCTGAGACAGTGTCCCACAAACAAAATAGAGGAAGATTGGCACAGATGTAAGCTCAGTGACAATCTTTCTCACCAAAAAAGTAATAAATAAATAAATAAACATAAAAGAGGGCTTGATTCCTCTTGTTTTAGTATTTGCAGAAAAATTTTCTTATGGCTTTATGAAAATATCTTACTTTGAAAGATAAGAATCAAATATATCTTCATGGTTGAATCTTACAATCACAAAAGCACGATTATTCCTTATTTTGTTATATTTCCTAACATCAGCCACAGATGGATTTAATTTTAAAGAAAACAACATAGCCAATTTTTTTCCACTGCTCACTTTTTTCTTTCCTTAAAAGCCAATTTAGGATAAAGATGGATCTTAATGCTGTTACGAATGTATTGATTATTTCAGAGAAAATGAGAGCTCATGAAATAAATCTCTTTTGACTTGACAAGATGATATGGTATTCCTTCATTTGTTTCTATGAAAATTATTCATTTAAAAGATAAGCCTCAGTTAAGGATTGTTTTCCCTTTGTTTTAGTAAGGAGCTGGAAAATGAAAAGAGAATATGCCTATAAAATGCACATGAAGCTGCTTCTGTATATGATATGATACTAGGAGACCTGAGTTTGATTATATACTCATGGACTAAGCTATTGATTGATTAGTCAGGGCAATGAATTATTATCCTCAAACTGCTATTTGCAAGGCTTTTTAACTATCTTAGAAAACAAACTAATGATTCAAGAAAAAGCTTTAAAAATAAATGGGTGCCAAAAGGACGTAATTCACCATCTAAGCAGTTTGGGTTGGGGAGAAGAAAAATATATTAACTTCATCTAGTCCTTGGGGCTTTGTAGCAATAAATATTGATTTAGTATGAAAAATAGCTATCTACTGTAGTTAATAGTGTTAAGGATGCTTTACCTGTTAAAAGAGAGAAAATGCGACAAAATATGAGCCCCAGGGTTATGTTGGCGAGCAGAACCATTGTATGGTAATAGTTTTATTTCATAAAACACCACTCTCCATTGATTTTTTTTTTTTTTTTTTTTTTTTTGGAAAGCAGGTGCAAGTTGCTGAGAAAGCATTTCACACATGTTTCCATTGGTTTACTTTTTGCTCCCAGTGCCACTTTTTTAACATATGGAGGAAAAGATGAAGGATTCCAGCAATGCCAAAATTTTTCTTGCTCATATTTTGAAAAAAAAGAGAGATACACATACACACAGACATTCAGAGGTGACCATTTTTAGAACATACAACTTTCTCCCAACAGCACCTGAGTACCGAGCCCCGTTTTCGGTGGACAGCAACTTGTCTGTGGTGTGTGTAAACTGGAGCGGCTCTTTCCTTCTGAATGGTCCACTGAAGGAGTTCGTGTTAACCGATGGAGGACAGCGGGTGTACAGTGGCTTTGACACCACCCTCTACATACCAAGGACAGCGGACAAAAGTTAGTGTCTGACCCCCACTTCTCAGTGTGTAAGGAGCCCTGTTCCCCAGCTTTACAGGACGTCCAATCTGAAGGTGACATTGCTCATCATTAAAATGTCTTGGTTTAAGTGGCCCCTTCTTGTGGGAAAGTTACTGCTCAGAGGAAAGAAGATTTTCTTCCCATCTGCTGTCTGATGCATTGCTGTGAGGATGCAGTCCTCGGGAGAGTGCTACCTCTGCGTGACTTGAGTGTCCCCCGGAAGGAACAAGATAGGAGGACAGGTTGTGTCCATAAGAGAAATAGCACCCACAAGTGGTCAGTGAGCATCCTGAAATAATGCCCTTTTAGGGCCCTCAGAGATTTTCTTGATGCATCCACAGCTCCAAACAGAGTCCAACCAGGTAGTGACCGTCTCCCACTTGTAAGGACCTGCGTAAGGGCTTTCCTTAACCAACCTCAGCATCTGTTCCCGAAATAACAAACTTTTCCCTCTAAAACTGAGTTCTTTCTTCCTGTTTAATTATATGTCCTGCTTTTGTTTGTCTGTTTTTACATTGAAACAAGAAAAAGCTTTGCAAGGTACCAAGTATTTTCTAACGATCAGTGTGGTCACAGGACCAACAGATGTGAAGCCATTTTAGCAATCTGGATTTATACAATGAATTCATTAGTGGGTTTATTTTTAATTTTCTTGAAAACAGTATTTGTTTTGGCTAACAGGTGCAGGTAAACAATGAGCTCCAGCATTGCACTTAGAGCATTTGAAACTTATCAAGGACGTTTTACAACAATTCAGCTACATATTTTTGTGGTCACAGTTCTTGGTCAGCTGGGCAGCTTGTTGTGATGGGAAAATGGTCTGACAGTGGGAGATCTGGGTTCTGCCCCCAGCCAGGCCTCTAACCATCTGTAGGACTTTACAAAAGTTGCTTCCCTCAGGTTCCTGGCTATTGGAAGAGGTATTTAGGGGGCTGGCCCCGTGGCCAGGTGGTTAAGTTCGCACGCTCCGCTTCCACGGCCCAGGGTTTCACCGGTTCGAATCTTAGGCACTGATGGGGCACCGCCCATCAAGCCATGCTGAGGTGGCGTCCTACATGCCACAACTAGAAGGACCCACAACTAAGAATACACAACTATGTACCGGCGGGCTTTGAGGAGAAAAAGGAAAAATAAAATTAAAAAAAGAAAAAAGAAAGAAAGAGGTATTTAGACCATTTGGTTTCGGAGGTCCCTTTTGAGCTCTCCTGCTTAGTAAGAAACTCTGAGCACTTAGCAAGGGGTACACCAGTAAGTTTTAAAGGAGCAGGTTGAGACCACATGCAGAACAAGATACACTATATGTGTGATCCTTTACTCCTCTGCTAATTCTTTTCCTGGCCCTATAAACTCTAATCTTCTTTAGTTCTCTTACTTCCATATATGCTGTTACAGTCAGGGGCCACATAACGACATCTCAGTCAATGACAACTGCATATATGACGGTGGTCCCATAAAATTGTACCATATAGCCTAGGTGTGTAATAGGCTATCCCATCTAGGTTTGTGTAAGTGCACTCTGTGATGTTCACACTGTGACAAAATCGCCTCACAACACATTTCTCAGAATGTATCCCTATCGCTAAGCAATGCATGACTCTATTACACTAACGATGGTTATTTTTCTTGATAATTTTAAAATTATAAAAAAGTTTGCTTATTAGGGAAAACCTCATAACTTGCTCTGGAATCCTGTCTTCAGACTTTCTCATGCTATGATATGCTAAAAGTTTGCCCACTATTTGTAGGTGTTGAATGACTGACTCATTTATCTTTGGTCCAGGCTTCTTTTTCCAGGTCATCTGCACTACCGAGGAAGGCAGCGTGAAGACACCTTTGGTCCAATATGATACTTCTACGGGATTTGGTAAACATTTCACTCATATTATATTTAGTGTAGCACCTACTTATTTTTCCAAGGAAACATGCATATGTTTGTTTATACATATTTGTGCTAATAGACTGTATAAAAGGAAGTGTGTTAAGTGTTGTAAGAAATTATTTTTTAAGTCCTCGTGGAACCTACATTATGCAGGGAGTCAGGATATATGCTTAGAATGCCAAATCGTTGAATTGTAGATTCAGAGAGATGTGACTATACTACTCTCCTAACCACAAATTCTATCAATAAAGAGCTATGTGACTTTGTTTACCAAAAAGTCAATTTATAAAGGAAGTCAGAAGAAGAGATCAGAGGAGTAAATACTCTAATGTCAATTCACATTGATCATAATGATAATATTCCAGGTTCAGAGCCTAAAAAGGTCAATTTGGGAAATTTTTTTCTTGTAGCCTCCATAAAGATTATCATTGACTGTTAATACCAAGTAATTTCGCTCTGCAATTTTTACAGAGCATCTTTTAAACTGCGTTCTACTTACAACCTTTGAATCTAACATATTCGATACTCTGCAATTTCAAAGGGCAAGCTAGAGAAATACCAAATCTTTTCCATTATAAGAGAATTGGAGTTGATACTCTATTTTAAATTCTAGTAAGTAATGTTATATCAAATTTGTATGCATATGCACATATATTTGGGGTTTTTTTAAATAAACATGCTCAAAAATTCTGAAACACAGGTGAGCATACATATTATTATCAAGGATAGTTTTGATCTGTAAAAATAATAAAATGTTATTCTATGTTTTCAGACTTTGCATGTTCTGGATGCCATGTAAAATTTCTTAAGACACCTAACAAAATTCCTCCCCCATAGTCTACGTCATTTTATTTAACAGCAGCTGTGGGATAGAGCAGACCTCATTCGGTACTATTTTAGCAACTCCAATGTTTCCACAAGTGGACAGATGGAGGCCTGAGGGACACCGGAACTTACCCAAGAATGCTGTCCCAGTTCATTCCTAAGATGAGAACTTGAACAGCATTTTCCTGTTGTCTCCTGGCCCCGTACTTTTTCTTTAGCGATGGTTCTCAAATTTAACTGTGCATAAGAATCATCTCAGTGGGCTTGTTTATTATATAGTTTCCCAGGCTCGTGGGAGAGATTCAGAATCAGGGGGGCCCAGAATCTGCCCTTTAAAGAAGATCTGCCCAATGATTCTAAGGGAGAGGTCAGGACCACACGTTGGGCAAAACCACATAACCTAGATTGATCCACCTTCTCAATCGCGCCTGTCCAGTCTCCTTGGTCAATAGGAAGTGTGTCTTCCCTGGAGGCAGGCAAGTAAGAGGGAGGGATTTACATCAGTTCTAGGTTGGGTTTTTCTTTGCAGTGGAGGCCCAGCCACTAGGGTTCCCTACCCTGACCGTGATCTCCCACTGGAGGAGGGGAGTCCCTTAAAATGAAAGGGGACGTTGAAAAGAAAAAGAAAAAAGGGATAAAGAGTCACCATCCTATCCTGATGTCAAGATTTCATAAAGGGGGAAAACCCTCCTGTTGGTTCATGAATACCAAGTGAGGTTTCCATTGCTGAGAGAAGAAACACCAACGGTGCAAAGTTATGGAAATTTCTAAGATGTGTTGTCCAACTAATATCCATAGTCACTTCTAATTTGTGTGATAGAACTTTCAAGATCTTTCTGTTCCCTTGCCTGAAGGCAGCCTTCAAGCAAGAAGGTCACAGGAGACTTCATTTCTCTCCAACTGTTCTGAGGGCTATTTCCCTTTGAGGCTTCCCCTGGACAGGCAGCCCTACACTCCCCTGTGTCATCCTGAGCAAGGGGCCCACTGGGCCAATCAGATCAGTTTCAGGAGTTACAGCCCTGTGCCACACACCAAGGGAATTCAGCTTTTCTAGCATATAACCAAGTTTGGTTTGGTTTTGAATCGAGCAACACACATTGGTTCCTTATTAGGGGAATTTCAACATGCTGAAATTGATCAGAACTTTGACTCCAACTCATCATTTTAGAGATGCAGAAGCCTACAGAGGCTAAGGGACTTCTGTAACCACAGAGCTAGCAGAAGTAGAGTTAGGGTTAGTAAAGTAATATCCTTTCTCTCCAAAATTCAGTTTCAATCACCTTCTGTCCCTCCCTCAAACGTTCTCCCCCACATTCTGAACTCTTCCCCTTTGATTCTTTCCCTGAGAAAGTGGGTGTGAAGTGCCACGTCCACCCATCCAGTCCTGGAAGTGCTGCAAAGGGGGAAGATGGTGCAGGGAGTGACTAGGCATTTCCAACTCTGTCTCTTTGTCCTTCTTCCTCTTGGCCGGAAGCATTCGTTCTAGAAGAGCAGCTCTCTGGCTCACCGCTGCATGCCAGCCTGCACTGCCACTGCGTGGGTCCACAGGCTTCTGAGCTGGCCCTAGCAAGAGGCTGGGTGGAGATGATCTCCGAGACCCTCTCCTGCTCGGGTTGCAGGATTCTACCGCCTTAGGCTGTCCTGCAATGACTGGTATAAGCCTTCCTCCTGCCTGCCCCGGCTCATTGCCACTTTCCCCACATCCACAGACCTGAGAATCTGCTACTCTCCATCCTTCATCCCTAGAAAGCCCTGAGCACAGGGCCTGGCACAGGGGAAATGCTCATTAAATGCGAGCTACTTTGTTAGCCTCTTGTACAGAAAATCACATTGACTGAACTCTCGACACTTGCACAAAAATCAAGGGGAAGTGGCCCTATTGCTAAAGGATTGCTTTCCTTGGGAAGCTCTCCAGGGCACTTGAGTGATGACTTGCAGAGCTTTTGCTGTCTAACAGAGAGGCCAGGGTACAAGAAATGTAAGGACAACACGTTAACGAGCGCAGGTGGTTGACATCCTAATGGAAAATGGGATTTGATGTCTCAAAATCCAGTTTGCATGAAACTTCTCAGGAACAGGGCTGTTGTGTGAGGTGAGGGAAGTCTGGATCCATGACACTGATTGTGCATGCAGGGGGGTCTCTGCAGCAATATTAGTAAGGGTTCCAGCCCCCACCAAGACTCCATTGCCCAAGAAAGGACTTTGCTCCAAGGGCACACAGCGCTCATGCAAGTGTTCCTCAAGGTTACTTTGGTAACACCCTTTAAAAATCCTCTCGACCCCTCCCCCTGTCTTTCCCAGGAAGCTCTTGGCGAGGTGTCCTAAGCGCTGTGGGCTTCTCCTTACAACCCACCAACCCACCGCACCATTTCCCCAGCCTGAACACAAGTGCCAACAAGCGCCATGAGTTGAACTCCTTCAAACTCCCTTCCCATTTATTATCAGACAACAGAGCAAGAGCTCACCAAACTGCCTCCTGAAATGATCTTTCCCTTTTCTGTCCCTGGATTTTGCAGGCCTGGTGCTGACAACTCCTGGAGACAAGAGGGGATCGGGGAGCAAAAGCCCAGAGTTCTACAGTGAGTTATGGTTCATTGTACTAATGGCAATGCTGGGCTTGATCTTGTTGGCCATCTTCCTGTTCCTGCTACTACAAAGAAAAATCCACAAAGAACCATATATCAGAGAGAGACCTCCCTTAGTACCTCTTCCGAAGAGGATGTCTCCATTGAGCGTCTACCCACCGGGGGAGACCCATATGGTATGTCTCTGAAGGCAGGCCTCTTTTCTCTCTATCACGGGGCTAGAATCCTTCCTTTTATTTAGAGGGAAATGTTTCCAGAGTCATGGCAGCAAGGACTAGAGGATAGTTATGTTTAATAGAATGGGGGCACCAAGGGAGGCAAACTCTGGAATAGCATCTCAACTTTGGCTGCACATTAGAATCACCTGGTGCCATAAATTGAATGTTTGGTGTCCCCCCCCGCCCCCAATTCATATGTTGAATCCTAATCCCAATGAGATGGTATTTGGAGGTGGGGCCTTTTGGAGGTGATTAGGTCATGAGGGTCCCACCGTGAGGAACGGGATTAGGGATCTTATAAAGGAGGTCCCCAGAGAGCTCCCTTGTCCCTTCCTCCACATGAGGATACACCAAGAAGACCCCCGTCTATGAGGCAGGAAGTGGGCCCCACCAGACACTCAATCCGCTGCCAGCTTGATCTGGAACTTCCCAGCTTCCAGAACTTCAGAAATTTCTATTATTTATAAGCCACCCAGTCTATGGTATTCTGTTAAACTAGCCCCAATGGACTAAGACCCCTGGGAAGCTTTTAAAAATACCATTGCCTGGGCCTTTTCCCAGAAATTCTGATGTCACTGGTCTTGGGGGGGGCCTGAGGATTGGTATTCTTTTTTTTTTTTTTTCACTCCAAATGTGATTCTCGTGTGCAGCCAGCGGAGAGTATTTCTCAGGGGATGGTGGAGAAGAGTTGGGTGTTGACATCACCTGGGGAACTTACAGCTTCTATAACTGTGCAGCTTGGGAGGATTAGCAATAAAAAGGGGGCATGGAGAGGGACTAAAGTGCTGGCAGTGCTCTGTCTGTCCCCAGCGCTGACACCCTGGGCCACTGCGGATGGATGGCTCCTCTTGTGCCAGACCACCCACTGCCAAGATAGGAGGTCAGGCAAAGGTCTGAGGTGGAGTCACACTTGAGATGCAGGGGGATCTTTCCACAGAGCCTTAGTTGAAGGGGTAAAAGGTGACTGAAGTCTGTGCTGCATTCCGGTGTGCAGCTGTGTGTCCCTGGAGGAGGAAATGCTGCATTTCTCATTCCCACCAGGCACCTGTCTGCTCCCCAAACTGGGTGCCCAGCAGGCTCCCTAAGGGGTCACCTTTTCCCCAGCTTGCACAAAGGTTCACTCTGAGCTAGCGGCCGCCCTGTGCAGCGAAAATTCTGATCACCAATTCCAGTGCGTGGAGGCGTTTTTCCACACCAACAAGCCATTCTCTGACACCACCCGGGGGTCCTACAATTCAACTCAATTCTGACTCTCTCTACCTGGAGATAGCATCAGATCCCACAGATTAAGGGTTGAGTCCTACAAGACTGCCCCACTCCCCACTTCAGATGACAATCACAAGTCCAGGTTGTCACCTGTGCTTCTGACTGACCAGCCACAGCTAGGAAGTTCCAATGACCCCCTCCTTGGGGTTAATTAATTTGCTAGAGTGGCTCACAGAGCTCAGAGAAACATTTTCCTTACTAGGTTACTGGGTTGTTATAAAAGGATATAACCCGGGAACAGCCAGATGGAAGAGCTGCATAGGGCAAGGCTTGGGGAAAGGGCACAGAGCTTCCATCCCCTCTCTGGGTGCACCACTGTCCCGGAACTTCCATATGTCCACCAACCTGGAAGCTCTCTGAACCCCATTCTTTTGGACTTTTATGGAGGCTTCATTACATAGGCATGATTGAGTAAATCCTTGGCCACTGGCGATCGACTTAATCTCCAGCCCCCCTCCATCTCCAGAGGTTGGGGGGTGGGAATGAAAGTTCCAACCCTCTAATGACTTGGTTGGTTCCCCTGGCAACCAGCCCCCATCTTTTGGTTCTTTCTGAAAGTCACCTCATTAACGTAACGAAGGACACCGTTGTCGCTCTCCTCACCTAGGAAATTCCAAGGGTTTTAGGAGCTCTGTGCCAGAAATGGGGATGAAGACCAAGTATGTATTTCTTATTATAAATCACAATATCACAGCAGCACCAAAATTAAGCAGCAAGCCTGGTCAAACTGCTTACGTCTCAACACTTTAAGAAATAGAGATGAATGAATGATAGCATTGTCTGCCTTCCAGATCTCTTCATTTCTCCAGGACTCAGCAAGGAGCAGTGGTTAAGGCCCTGACAAAGCTGTGTCGTGCCCAAGTAGCAGAAGTGTTAGGGACACGAAAGGGTGGCAGTCCCTCTGAGGCCCATGGCTTGTGGTTGGTGCAGGAAACAGCCATGGGACAGTGACTTGGTGATGGAGAAGCAAAGAAGACGATGCCCTACATCATCTGGTCCTCAGTTTTCGCCAACCACATCTCACTCCACTCTCCATTCTCTCCATCTCTCCCTGAGCTCTTTAAGCTCCTCCCACCAGGTCACGGCTCCCGCTGTTCTCTTGGATGGCTCACACTCTCACTTCATTTAGGTCTCTGCACACATGTCACCTCCCCTTCCACGTAAAATAAAATTCCCTAGCTCCTTAGTCCACTTTTCCTTCTCTGTGGCACTTATCACCCCATGACACCACAGCAGATAGATCTGTTTGACCCCTGGAGTGAATGTAAGCTCCCCAGGGGCAGGGACTCTGTGTGCCATTTGCTGTTGTGCCCCAACACCCAGAACAGTTCCTGGCATATAACAGATATCATCAGATTCTGAGGTAGACTCTGATAGACTTAAACAAAAAGAAGTTTATTTGGGGTTTCTTAGGACTGCAACCTGGGGAAAACACAAATTGAAGTAGCCCCTGAATTGGGTTTGCCCCACTGAAAGGGGGAAGGAAGGTTTTATAGTCGTGGTTAACAAAGGTAAAGATAAAAAAGGGAAAGGATGTCCTTCAACAAATTCCATGTGCAAGGTAATCTCTCAGGTGAGGGTTAGTTGAAACAAGCCATTAAACTTAGGAATGTGGGAGATGACTCTAATAGGAATGAGGTCTCTGTCCCCATGATAATCTTAGCATCCTTGAGAAGACTTGCAGACACCTTTCAGGTTTCTAAAGAGTTCAAGAGTTCATCTTGAGGGAGGAACTTGTTTCTCTCCTCGTCATGGCTGCTCGGCTCCATTTTAATGCCTTAACATGAGAGACTCCATCCTTTTGCAATTCCATGTCGGCACTCCACAAATATTTGCGGAATGAATGGATGTTGAGTGGCCAATTTGAACCACAGGCCGTTTGCTTCTGCTCAGTGTATAGTCATCAGGAGATTCTCCTTGAGGAGCAGACACTTCAAAGTTTTCCCTTATTGGAGAGTAACATTCTCTCTCTGGGGAAGCCATGTTCTTAGACAAAAGATGTACCACATCTGCAGGGAAGTGCATGGAAGGACCAAGAAGACCAGAGAGATCTGTTTAGTCCGAGAGATCAGCTAAATCAGCCCTTGGGCCTATGGAATGCATGGAGAAAGCAGACAGGAAATTCCCAGGCACTGCTGGGTGTATCTACTCTGTCACATGGAAAACTTACCCACAGACCCTTAGTGTCCATAACTCATTTCAGGGATCAAACCTCCTGTCCCTTGACCCATTCCTACAGGCAGGCACTTCTGCATCACAATCCCTCATGAGGAGAAATCCAGCTTTGCCCACTTGGTCAACTTCGTGATCAAGAAGCAATCACCTCCTTCCTGTGGGGAAGTCCCTATGGATGGCACCCTTGCTCAGTGTTTTCCTGAATCTTGTTATGCTTCATTTTGTCAAAGTGAGGCCCCTGAACTATCAGTGTCAGCCTCACATTGGAGCAGGACCTGAATCTCTGAGGAAGAAGCCCAAGAAGCTGCCATTTTAACCAGCTCTGGGGGAGTCTATTGTATAGTCAAGTTTCAGAACAGCCATAAATGAATTAAAAATATAATACAATTCCTGTAAGCCATGTGTACAGTCCAATAACCAATAAAAACAGGTGGGGTATTGCATGATTCCTCATACTTATGTGAAGTATCTAAATAGTCAAACTCGGGGCCAGCCCTGTGGTATAGCAGTTAAGTTCATGCACTATGCTTCAGCAGCCCGGGGTTTGCAGGTTCAGATCCAAGGTGTGGACTTAGCACTGCTCATCAAGCCATGCTGTGGTGGCGTCCCACATACAAAATAGAGGAAGACTGGTATAGATGTTAGCTCAAGGCCAATCGTCCTCACACACACACAATATAATAATAATAAAATAAAATAGTTGAACTCATGGAAACAAAGAACAGAATGGTGGTTGATGTGGGCTGGGGGAGGGGGAACAGGAAGTTGTTAATTAAAAGGTATAGTTTGAGTTATGCAGGAGGAAGAAGTTCTAGAGACTGCTGTGCAACATCATACCTATGGCCTACAGTACTACATTGTCACTTAAAAATCTGTTAGGAGGGTGGATCTCATGTTAAGTATTCTTACCACAGTTAACTATTTTACAAAAACACAACACGTGGGGGCTGCTGATTCGACCTTGAGATTCTGACAAGATCGAGGCCAAGCTGCCTTTGGGGCCAGACATGGGGGTCAACTGGGATGAGCAGACAAAAGAATAGAAAGACCCTACTCCTCTACAGCCCTTGCCATCAGGGAAAAGCAGAGGGGCGCCCGACAGATTCACCCTTCCTCAGTGGCCGAGACTGAGTAGGGGTTGAGGAGGGGAAGGAATGGTGGGGGCTGGCTGGCTGCCAGGGGCTCTGGCCTCACCTTCAGCCGTGAGGGCACTCCTGACAGGCCCTGCAGGGTTAGCAGAAGTGGAATTGGGGGTGTGCCAGGGCACCGGACAGTGCCGCCTCCCCGAACCCAGTGAATCCCAATTCACTCCTACCCACCTTGACAAAATGTGCTTGCAAGCCTTCTTCTCTTGCTTTTTAAAGCCAATTTTGAAACTAAACTGTTCTCACAAAGTTGGAGATAGGGAAGAATATTAGTGAAGTTCCGTCAAACTGAAGAAAGTATAATTTGCATTAGTAGAGAAAAGGAAGAGCTGTTGTGTCCACAGGCTCCAGAGTCAACGGGAAAGAATCTGAACAGGAGCAAGCTGGAGTCACCTGCTCCATGTCCCAGACTTTCTTTTCACTTGGGTGGGTCAATGAGAGCTACCTTTGTAACACACACACACACACACACACACACCCATGTACACACACATCCTCATCTGACAAGCTCTGGTTTTGGTGCTCTGTAACTGAGTCCAATGGGTATGAACATGCTATCATTGGAAAAACACAAAGAATTTGGTTTTTATTTCTTGTTGTTTTTTAAAGATTGGCTCTGAGCTAACATCTGTGCCAATCTTCATTTTTTCTTCTTCTTCTCCCCAAAGCCACCCCAATACGTAGTTATATATTCTAGTCGTAGGTCCTTCTGGCTCTGCTATGTGGGACGCCACCTCAGCATGGCCTGATGAGCAGTGCTAGGTCCCCGCCCAGGATCTGAACCAGCAAAACCCTGGGCCACCAAAGCGGAGCGTGCAAACTTAACCACTGGGTCACAGGGCCGGCCCCCAGAATTTGTTTTAAAATGTTGCAAACACTGACTGACGCCTCCCCATTTGTTCTCAGTTTGACTCTGTGGCTGATCTATCTGATGTGTCAAGCAGTGTTACCCTAAAAAGTTACACCATGCACTTCGAGGTACCTCTGCGTGCTGCATGAATGCATGCTCTTTTGCATGGCGTGTTGACTGCACAATGAAAAGCATTGATTGGACCAGCTGCATCAGTTCCCTCGGATGTTTAGAGCAGCTAGACCTTCTCAGGGCATCTTCCAGGTCCTAATCATCGAGTGCCTTTGTCTTTCCGATGTTAATGCCAGACCCGATTTATTTTGGAGGTTGGAATCCTATAACAAGAGGCATGATGTGGGATGAGAAAAGAGGGAGAGAGGAGTCCATTTCCGTACACATATCCAGGAATTTAAAGTGTGAAACAACTGCGCTCACTTAGTGGGCAATCATGAGAGAATATTGGTAACTGTGACATTCTGGGAAAGCAGTGTTCTTAGGAGAGGTGCTCCAGGGTGACACACCTGAAGAGGTTACGTTGTAAACCCACCCTCCCTTGCCCTCACCCCACCACTTTGCAATGCACCAAGCCCTTGTCTACAGGGCACACTAGCACGTGAGCTCTCTGGGCACTAAGAACACGGGCTGTCTAACATGACGATTAGTTTATTTCTCACCCTTACCAAACCAGGGGCCACAGTATTGCAGAGAAGCTAAGTTCTATAGGAGGATATGGAGACAGCGTGCCCTTCATTGACAACGTGTGACACACAATTTTCTGTCTTATTTCAAACCCATTTTCTTTAGACAGTAGTCACCTATAGCCACTGTCTTTTCAGGGATTAGCCGATACCAAAATCCCCCGGTCTGGGACCCCCATGAGTATGAGAAGCAACCAGAGCATCTCTGTACTTCACATCCCAAGTCAGAGCCAAATCAGCCAAACCTATTCACAGGGCTCTCTACACCGCAGTGTCAGCCAACTCATGGACATTCAAGACAAGAAAGTCTTGATTGATGACTCGCTGTGGGAAACCATCATGGGCCACGATAGTGGACTGGTGAGTAGATTCCCCATCCAGGGCCTTTACTACTCATCCCAGAAGAACACTGGTAAAGGGACGACATGGAGCTTCCTGTACCCCATTGAATGCTACCCCATAGCACTCAGTGCATCCCTCTGACCCTTTACCCCAAGGGTTTTGTAATGACCTGTTTACTAGCGTTACTACAATTGTTTAAAGAGCAAGGTAGAAACTTTTTGTTCTTTTAGCACACGATAGATGCTCAAAAAATAAATTCATGAATCAGTGAAGAGACAAACAGGCTATAATTCATTAACTTGGGCAGAAGGTGACTGGAAACCTTGGAACTGGCCTCAAAGAGGGCATAAAGTCAAAGCATCTTTTCATCTTTTTCCTTCTGGTCTTTCTCTCACTAGACTCAATGGTTCCTTTCCAAGCAACTCCAGAAAATGATGATAAATAAAGGTATTACTGTTTATGGACTTCATCTTTCATAATTTCAGTCCAGTGGATACAAATAGTTGACTCTTTGAAAGTTAATCTCATCACTATGTAATATTTGCTAAAAACCCCAAGTGGCCGAAATGAATAAAATCCTAGAGTTGTTACCAACCATCAAACTTCTTCCTTGTGCCAACTACCCAGAAGTCCGCTGGAGAACCCTTCCTTTGGGATGGTTAGATAACAAACAGCCACCTAAGAACCTGGCTCCTCTCTTACCTCCTCTGAGGCAGGATTATTCACCTCCATTTCTTTCAACCCTCTGCTTCTGCTTTCAGACTCATTCACTCATTTCTCTAAGTCCTCACTTTTCCTTCACTAAAAAGTTGATGACTTCCATGAGGCCTTCTTAACTAATGGCACGTAATAAAGCAAGCTTCCTGGCTCCAGGTTCCAAGCACAAAAAAATAAAATAAAATAAAATGCACAGTCCTTCTGGTTTGTTCAGAATGATGATATATGACACGCATTTTAAAATCATGGGTCTGCGTGATGCTGATAGGACTATTGAATTCCATGATTTCATTTCAGATATACAGTTTCTAAATAATTATTCCTATATAGTTATATTAGTTTGAAATGTAAGGAATTGTTAATTGACCATATTTGACAAGGAAAATGGCAATGTCACATGGTTGAACATAACTCATTTAGGTCTTAGATGCATGTGTGTCCTGACACAAGGACACACAGCTAGTAAGTATTTTTGTGGAACTGGGATCCTAAGAACACAGTCTGATTGCAGAGCCCCCATTCTTCACTATTATACTTACTGCCGTTTTTACTTGCTTTTGACAGTACTAATAATAGGCAGGATGCAAAACAATTCATTGGCAGCTTTTGAAGATTCAAAAACTTGGCAACATACCTGTTCGTTATAACATTATACTCAACATTACTAACCCTATTCGATCAATACAAATACAGTAAGAGAATGGGACACAATGGAGCACAATAGCTTGCGTTCTGGCTCCCCTGCTTACATTTTGAACTAAATCTTAAAATCTTAGTATCTCCCCACTTTACAGATGAGAAAACTGAGGCTTAGAAAGGTCAAAATACGGCACAATATAACACTCAAATGACATACATTTTGGATTAGTCTATAGTCCATGCATGCATGTGATGTGATCATTTCAATAAGGTAAACTTGAGGTAAGGTAAACTTGGAGGCAAGGATGGCCTCAAACCACACCTTATAGAGGTGAGCATAGGATATTAGCCTTAAAATACTTACTGAGGACTTTTTACATTAACCTGAGAGAACCACCAGTTGAAGGTGAACTCTCTTGACAGCAAACATCCTAACTAATGATGATTGGCTTATTTTCAGTATGTGGATGAAGAGGACCTGATGAATGCCATCAAGGGTTTCAGCTCTGTGACTAAGGAACACACCACATTCACCGACACCCACCTGTGAAGGATGGAAACCCCCAAGATGTAAAGCCGGGATTCAACTCCACACCCCAGTCCCACCGGGTTATCACTGACGCATCGTAAATGCTAAAACGCCATTGCTTGTTATTCCGTAATCCTTTAAAGAAATGAGGATTGTTTTTGAAATTGTTCCTCCCTAATTGAGGTCTAAGAAACATTATTTCTCTGGTTGTCTGAAATGAGGGGTACTATCTACATGAAAATACTTTTTTTGCCCTACTTATTTTGTGGAAGCTAAAGAGGTGTTTAATTTTCACTTGGCTGTTTGGCAGTGACACCATTGATTAAATGAATAATCTGTGGCAATGTCAAGTTGGCCCACAGTTGTTACAAGTGAAGTTACTAGTTTACAAACTAAGGGAGCCTTCTGAGAGTATGTCACTGCTGCTCCTTGCAGTATCCTGTTTCCATGAAGGTTGACACTATCCTGTAAGGAACAATTCTAATGATCACAACTACAAAATAACTTCCCAACTCCAGGCCAAGCTGAATCACTTGGAGCAAAGCAAACTCTGCATTGAGGCTTCACACTTGGCTGAAGGTCCTACTTCATTACCATGTTTGGGGATAAATAATGACCAAACCTTTTCATAGGCCACCACACGCATTTACAAATAAACGTCTGTTCTTCCATTTATGAGTCTTCTGAAAATCTAAGGACTAAACAGCTCATTTAGATATTTCAGAGAGAAAATGAAGCGTTTCGACAGAAACACCTTCACATATTTGACATAGTTTTGAAACTCCAATCAGTACTTTTCATAAAATGCTGTCCATTCACTGAATCCCCCGGAATATTGACATCTTCAGCTTAGCACATTTCACATGGAAACTGCTACTCTATTTGAAGTATTTCATTAGCAAATGTGGAATTAAAAAAGGAAAAATTTTATTTGTGCTCCTTCCTGCTTTGACATTGTTTAAATTAACATTCATATGTAAACATGAGATTTACATATGCATATATATCATCTGTATATATGACTCTGGACTATATCCCTCCATTTCAGAGAACTACTCAATTCTAGTCCTACAATCACTAAGACCAGATGATATTCAACAGTACCAATTTCTGTGGGTCCAATGTTTGTCATCTGTTCTAGCTACATTGCAAAGTTATTGGTGAAAGTCCTACAGCAAGAAACATTTTTTTTCCCCAAGTCATCAACATAAAATTAAAGGTAATTTTGTTCTTCATGGAAAACAACGTAAGAAAACCTCTCTTCTTCCTTCATTAAGAATGACTCTTCTTCATTCTTAATGAGTCTTCATGACTCCAGGAAGTTACTCTGAATCTATATGTCTCATACACGTTTGCGTGACAATATTTTGCGAATTACATTCAGAGGTAGGTGGATTTTCCCAAAGCTGAGCTGGCCAAAACTTGTAAAATAAAGGATAACCATCCATATTCTGTTTGAAAACTATGAATTACCCAACGTCCAACAGTCAAAGACTGCGGGCTTTGGAGGTACTGAGACTTTGACCAAATCTGTGGCACAGCAACTCCTGAGACTGACCAGCTCCCGGACAAACGTTGCCAACAGTAAGTGTCCAAAGCAGAGAGCAGTATTAAGCAGAAGTCCTGCCCTCTTGTTAGAAGTGCTCTACGCAAAGACATCTGAAATAATTGTGCCCTTTTGGCAGTGGATGTATAAATTATAAGAAACTTTTTTCTCGCCAAAAGTTTTATACTTTCTGAAATGGAAACAGCATTGGCTAATTTAGTTTACTGGTTTTAATTCCCATCTGTTGACCTGGGTGGATCTGTTGTTTAAAGCTGGCACAAAGGAGCCTTTCCAAGGCTGAGATTCTGGATTCACATGAGCTGCTTAAGGCACAGAGAGAAGACTCTTCTCCAGTCACAAACTTGGATCCTTGTCCTTGGTCTACACTTTCGCAAATAGAATTTGCTAGTCACACGTGCATTCAGATTGAGCTCATCCTCATTTTTGAAAAATTAACTAGATACTTTTATCACAGAATAAAATTTGTAAAAGAACACAGAGAATGGCAGGGGGGGTTATATTAAATCACCTCCACTTAATCATCTCATTAGACATTTAGTTATTACATGAATTCACTTAGCTCAATCATTTACATTTTGATCCTGTAGCTGAGTGGACAGAAGCCTGTATGGCTTCCAACCAAGAACACTGCCCCCTGAATGCTCTTAACCTGACTCATTTCAGAGAAGCAGCCCAAGATTTTGTTTTGTTAGTTTTAAGTGGTATTGCGTGCCAAGCCTCCATGAAACACCTGGAGAGTGTGATTCAACTGGTCTCGGGTGGGGCTGAGGCATGTGTGTTTAAGCCTCCAGGTGTTCCTAATGTTGAAAAGCAACGTAAAGCAACCTGGAAGAGCTCATGGACAGGAGCAACACACTGTGCCCAGGGACCATACTCCTTGGCCCACCACGTCTCCTTTTCAAACAAGCAGTTCTCTAGGAAGCCCTTTAAATCTGCTCTCACTCTTCTGACTCACGTCTTACCACTTGCAGAGGCCACATTCTCAGCGTAATTTAACAACTACTATGTTTTGTTATTCCTAATATTAACTGCTTATAAGAGTACATAGCTGTTTTTATGAGCTCTATTAAGAATTGTGTTTGTAGGTGATCTATTGTCATTTCCACTAAATGGAAAACCTAAATATGGATCTGTTATGGTACCTTATACCGATCTAAGTCATGTTGGCATCAATGTAATTCAACCTGAACAATCTGTAAATAAAATATAGATCAGGTGGACTAATTCAGTGATAAGGAACTTATTATGTCCCACATGAAGAGTAGTTTATTTCCAATGCACATGATCATGTAAATTAATCTAAAGACGGTTTGCTTAATAAATATTTAAATGTGAACCATGTTTGATTTAATGTATGTATGAAAAAATACTCTAACAGCTATGAGTTGTATTTACAAATTACACACAAATGATGATAAAAGTGAGGCCATTTAAGAAAATAAGATGCTCTGGATAATGTCTTAACCATCAATGCACATTAGAACCAATGTGCTACTTTTTTCAAAACATGAGTCTCGATCACCAGAGATGCAAGTTCAGCAGGTCTAGAGGGAGCCCGGACAACTGCGCTCGCACAGCCTCAGGTGATTCTGACATAAAAGCCTGGATGAGAAAGCCAGGAGCAGACCGCAGGCTCCCGAAACAGGCGGACCCGGGTTCAGATGCTGGCTCGGTGGCTAAGGAGCCTTGTGGCCGGATAAGCTGCCTATGCTTGGTGAGCCTCATCTGTGAAATGAGGAAAACAGTGCCTAGCCTATTGGTATGACAATACTTATGAGTGCTGCTTTGAAATACGTAGACAATTACTTGGAAAACTCTTTTCATCAGAATTCTAATTCTGTTCTTGTTTTTTCAATCATACCAAGTATAAAGATTCATTTCAATGTCTTTTTCTTTCAGTCACAAAAACCCTGCAAAGGTAGGTATAATGAAACGACTTAGGCACAGCAGGCGTCATCTGCTGAGGGCCACAAAGTTAAGTGCCAGAGTAGCTCAACCCCTGCTATGACATCAAGGTTCAAACTCTTGTAAGTAAAAGAAAGAAATAAGATTTGACCTGTAGTATCATGCAATCCACGGTATAGTGAGTTGCCTTTTGTATGGGATTTTACTATATAAGAAGTCTTTTTTTTCCCCCAACGGCCTTTTACTCTTGGAAAAGGCTGGGTAAACACTCAATTTTTTTCTTTAGTTTTCTTACTTGCCCACCCAACTATTACACGACTGTGATGGGAAACAAGGGTATAACAGATAACTAGAATCCTTAGCAACACTGAAATGATTCCTTGCCTACCATTTTCCCTCACTGATAATATAAGTTCTCCCTCTCCCCCCCCCTTTATTACGGGAAGCAGCAAAGACACGAGCAAACTCATACAGGTGTACTTTAAACGGGTGACTGGTCCTTAAGCGACTGAAAACACACAGTCTTAATCATTTTTATTTAATTGATAAATACAAGAGAACCGTTGTGAAACCACTGGCAATATGGTAAACTTTAAAGAATTTATTTCAACTTCACTCATTTATTATGTTTCTTGGTATGGGAATATATACATTATGCACCAATAAATGCTTAATGCTTTAAATTTACAATTACTTGCAGAAAAGAAAATCATTCCAATTAAGTGGAAAAAAGTACAAAAAATTTTTGTTGTTCTTACAATTCAAAATATATTCAAAATAACATTTTTACAGCAGCCAAAACCTTTAATCAAAAATTCAGAACTGCAGTCTCATAAGCTTACAAAATGGCCACATTCTAATTTAAATCTTGATTATTAACACTGGAAAAAAACACGGCAGCTCCTAACACACGGCAGACTAGCAACTGTACAGTTTTCCCTTCTGGGCACTCAAAGCTTCGTCCTTGATTAGTATTTTTATTTCATCTGTTCAAACACAGACAACTGCTCCAACTTTAAACAAAGTTTAAACAGACTTTTGGCATTTAACATGGTGATGCTTGCTAAGATTTAAGAACTCCAACAGTGAGAATCGGAAAACGACCCACAATTAAAATAAAATCACCCTAAGGGACTTACTACTACACGGTGTAATCTGGGATTCAACATCAATAGTGTTTTGAATGACATGGTGTTTTTTCACAAACATAGCACCTCATTAAATATCTGGTAAGCACTCTGCAATCACAATAAGGGCTGAGAGACTAAGTTCCAGAGAGACTCATGTGATTCACTGAAGCTCACACCGCAAGCCAAGCGTGAGGCATGACCCAGATTCGGAATGCAGTCTGTGGGTTCCCACGCTCTCGGGGATGCTCACCTCTATGGGCACCATCTCAGTAAGACACCGGACTAGGTTTCCAAAATTCAGAGTAGTAAACATTGAAGTGGACTCTTGCTTTTACAAATGATCTGTTAAATGTACTTGTAAAACTAAAAAAATCTCCCAAAAGATCAAAAGAGATAGTTATTTTACCTCCTTACTCCAGGTAATTCTGTTAAAAAGATACTAAATGAAGTCCAATTTTCATTTGTAAAGTTTTGGCGTAAAAGCTAATGTACTGAAATCCAGTCAAGTTTGACTTTAACCTGAATTAACAAAACAACTACTCCTTTTGGTGAGTTTTCACAAGCTGTACTCCTGACCTAAAGAATCATTTTTCTTATGCCGAGGAGAGGGAGTCGTCTTCGTGGGCGACGGGGATGCAGTGCCAGGCGAGTCAGTACCTCCATCAGAGGTACTCGGTGATGACGCCAGATAAGGAACTTTCTTTCTTCCAAGGAATCCGCCTCCTTCAAATCCTCCTTTCTTCCTTAACTCCACTTTATTTTCACTTTCATCTTCTGATGGCCTTTTCTTGGATTCTAGAAAACCTTCAGCTATTTTATGCACTTCCACTCCACTATCTGATTCTCTCCAGCTTTTGATTTCCGCTGCAGGAGACTTTCTCTCAGACACATGACACTCCCCTGCTGCCCGCTTTACGTCAGCTTGCATGGGACCCAAGTTACCATTTTCAGGGACGGCTCTTTCCACGTTTCTGTTCAGATTAACAGTCTGGAAGTCCCTGTAACTGTGAAAGCTCTCAGTCCTCCTTGCCCTTGCTAACAAAGGACTCTCTCTGTAAGGCCTCACGGAGCCGTAAGTAGCTGCTTCGTGGATGGTTTCATGGTGCTGGAGCTGAAGGCTGAAATACAGTTTTTAAATGACAATTCAGATTTGTTTCTGACATTTTTCAGGGGCACATCTCATTAATTAAACTACCAATAAAAACACATCATATAAATATATAAAGACTATTTCATCCTTATTTCTATATATAGAAATATACTTATTAAGTATTCTATATTTTAATTATGTGTGTGTAGGTGTGTATATGTATATAAAGTTACCAATGCAAATAATACTATACATATATTCACAGCCAAGCTAGCTTTGTGAACAGCTGAAAAAGCTGGGGGGTGGGGGGGAACCTTCAAAACAAATGTGAAATAACATACTTCAGTATTTGGCCCTTAGTTCAGATTTTGGAATTTCTTTTTTAATATGGTAACTAAAAAGATATACTATGTAATTGTATTAAAGTACATAATGTATACCAATATCAAATCCTTATGTTGCACTCTTGAAACCAATAGAATGTTGTATGTCAATTATACCTCAATAAAATAAATAAATAAATAAAAGTACCTAATGCCTAAATGTAAGATCAGACAAGATACTGTGATCACTTTCATTAGTGTGTCCCTGAAGCAAGAGGAACAAAAGCTCCACGTACTATCCAAGGCGGCATGGGATTTTTCTAATTTCCTTTGAGTGGCTTTTTGATCACATAAGAGGCATCCAAATTGGCAACAATTCAGAACAGAAGTTAAAGGGCAAAAAATGTTTTTCTATGCAAAGAACCAGATATACATGTAGATAAATTTAAATTTAAAAAAAAATTGAACACGAAGTCGGAATTAAAAATGTATTTTGAAAAATACGGTTTTCAAGAACAAGTATGTGATTACAAAATCTCAGCCAATTCTCCCAAAAGCAATCAACTCAACTTATACAACCGTCAACTGTTTAACTGACCTGGAATTGGATTCACGGAGACGGCTATGCTGAACCACAGAGGTTGCCGGGCTGATGTTCGGAGTAGCACAGCGAGACGTGCTCAGATCACACTGGTCCAGCAATTTGAGCAGCTCTTCTTCAGTCGGCCCACCTACATCTTAGGAGAACATGCACTCGTCATCATCACTTCTGTCAGAAGCTTACCCTGCGACAGCCATCTTTCCCTACGGACCTACCCTTATCTTCGCTTTTGTTCACCATATCCATAGCAGTGGTGAGATCCCACATTTGAATACTGCCGTTCGTATGGCCCGTGAACAAGTAGCGCCTTGGTCTTGAGCCCATCCTACTGGACCCCTCACATTCTCTCACTGTAAATGAGGATATTGTAGTACAGTCAACAGCCTGGATCTCACAGATTCTGCAAGAGATGATATACAGCTGTAAACCATGGGGAACAAATAACATTTATAATTCAGATTTTTGAAATTAATTTCTTTTTTGCAAAGTTATAGTTGAATACTCCACATATGTAAAACAGATTTAAAGAGGTCAAGGTAAGTCAACAGGACAAAAATTCCAGCCTTGTTTCTTTGAGTCTAGAGAAAAAGGCTCTTATTAAACAATGTGTTAAATACTTGAAATCAGGCAAATAATTTAAGTGAACCTTAAAAGAAAAACAGAAAGAGCCTTGATAGGAATTGAGTAATTCTCTAAAAGGAAGTTAGGAACCTAAAAAGGCAGAAAAAAACAAAGCAAGTAGCCATCATTCTAGAAAAGATCTTAGGAAGTCATTTAAAATTTACGTGTAAACTTAAAAACTGAAACCAGAAAAAATGTACAGCTGTATGAAGATGCCTAAATAGTCTCCTCCACCAGGATAATACTCAACTCTTTCAAAGCATTTTTATAGCTCTTGCATTGATTTTCATAAAAGAGAAAAAAACCTGAGAAAGAACAATTACTATCCACATTTCACAAATGAAGAAACCAACGGATAATGTTGAAAATGATTTCCCAAAGTGATAATAAGGGTTGACTGACTTGTACTTGATTCAATTATTTGTCCCAGTCTACTTCAAAACAGAGTGGACGGGGCTTATTTAAAAAAATAATAATAATTAAGAACAATTACTACTATGCAAATGCAAGGTGAAAAAATAAAGGAGGAAGAGGAAATACAATCCATATTAATGTGAGAAACATTACAGGAACAGAATATGAAGCCTAGCTGAGGTTCCTGGCAGGCAAGGCAAAAGTGGGTGGGAGGGATTAATTCCTCCATGTCCACATACAGTGATAGAGGCTATCGTACTCTCACACCCAATCTCAAGGGAAAAGCTTTCACTATTTCACCATTAAGTATGAGGTTTGCTACAATTATTTTTGTAGACCTTATCAGATTAAGAAATTTACTCTTTATTTTTTAAGTGCTAGGATTCTTTATCATAAATGAGTGTTGAATTGTCAAATGTTTTGTCTGTGCTTACTGAGATGATCACAATTTTTCTCATTATTATAAATGTAGCAAATTACATTTACTTTTAGTAATAATCTAAATTGATATAAAATATTTTTAAAAATCTAGATTCCTGTTTATGTTTAAAATAAAATAAATCAACCCATGTGCATGAAAACAAACATGATTTTGCTCATTTTATTTTTCCTATGGGATAGATTCCTTAGAATTACTTCTTCTTTTAAAACTTTTTACAAGGTTTTTCCCCTGCCCATTTCACTTCTCACGCTTAAGAACTTGAACTCTCTTTAAACTAAGAGCTTTGCTTCAGATTAGCTTCATAAGGGTTTGAGCTTCTATTTAATTCTACAAAGGAATTTTTGCTTGTTATTTTTATAACTATAGCTTTTCCTCTGGAATTGTACACTTAAAAACTGTAACATTTGTTTTATCCTGCAGAAATTATAGTTGATTACAAAACACTGCTACTGCCTGAACTAAGAGAAGAGGGTATGATATATTACACTGTTAGAGGATGTTATGACTGCAGTATTAAGAAACATTTGGCAGCTTCTTCACCAAATATGCACAGAACACTAAATCACAGTGATTTATAACATTTCTTAAGATAATTATTTGCTCTCTAACTACATTATAGGTTCTTAGTACTTTTTCTTTTAAAAAACAGCTGACAAAAAGATTGGTCAGTACATAAAAATTTTCTGGAATTAATTCACTTAATAGTTACTGATGACTACACACAATAAACTTCGATGGAAAGAAAATTTATCATCTCAAAGAGTTTATTCATTAAAATATTAAAAAACTAGAGACAGCCTGAAGAAGGGGTAACCAAGAAACTATTAAAAATATCAGTAGCATTAGTAAGATTAACAGGAAAATCTGTAACTTTTTAAATGACTACTAAAAGGAATTTACTTTTTTACATTGGTTAGACATCAAAACATTTTGTTCTTAAAAAGAAATGTTACAGCTCATTCTGTTTAAGGCTAAATAATTTTAAAAGAAGTAAAATTTCAGTCAAATGGAAGAGGAAGAGGAAACTAACTTCTTTTGAGCATCTGTTATAGTCAGGGACAAAGCAAGACATTTCCTATGTTTTTAACGCATTTTATCCCATGACATCCTGCTAAGGTAGCTG